AGCTCAGTGGCTAAATGTCCCAGGGTTCAATGGGGATTGAACAACAACAACAAAAAAATCTCATTCAAAATATTGGAAACCAGTATCATTTCTATGTTATTATTTGCTGGGTGTAAAAGGGATATTGTTTTTTTCCTTTTGAAAAAAGACTATATGTTTTATTCTAGCCATCTGAGTTTAGGTTTAAATTGCTCTGGGAAGTTTGCATAATATTCTGATGATCATTGCTTAGATGCCATACTTCATATAAGAACTATCTTTACATAAGGAGAAAAACTATGGCAACCACTTCATTCATTAAAGAAATTATGTTTTGTTCACTTGCATTTTGCTTGCTTGCTGACATTGATTATTTATACTTACAGAATGTTTTTCTTAAATGAAGATTTTAAAATCACTTCCAATGACCTTCTAATTTCTGGTCAATTCCCAGTAAGCTATGGAATAAATGGTTTTCATATAATAGTGTTTTGTGTCTCCATCTTTGATTGGTTTATGTAAGTGGTGATGGTGATGGTGACAGGGTATGTGTCAAAATGACAACAGTCTGGGTGCAGTGGTGTGCACCTATAGACCCAGCTACTGAGGAGAGGCAAAGGCAGGAAGGTCAATTGAGCCCATGAGTTTGAGATCAGCCTGGGTGACACTTACCATGTTGGGGGCTGGGGGAATGACAACCAACACAAAATCTAAAGGTCAGAGGTACATTTGAATTCTTAAATACATTAATTTTATTTTTATTTTATTTTTTTAATTTTTTATTGTTGGTTGTTCAAAACATTATATAGTTCTTGATATATCATATTTCACACTTTGATTCAAGTGGGTTATGAACTCCCATTTTTACCCCATATACAGATTGCAGAATCACATCAGTTACATTAATTTTATTAACACAAAGCAAATATATATTTAATAATAGAAAAAGAGAAAAGAATAATTAGCACTTAAACTATTTTATTAGTTGTTGCAGTAACTTAAGATATTTGAGTTATTAAAAGATTGAAACTCTGGAGAAATGCAACAGAAGTCACAAAACTGCTTGGAGTCTGAAAGCTCCAGCTCCAGAGAAAGGTGTTTGGTGTATACCAGCATTGACTACCATCTCCTCAGGAATGGTTTCCCTAGTTTGTCAGACTAAGTGATACAAATTATTAGGTATCTATAATTTTCTAATGTAAGTCTCAAGACACGGAGATATGTCACGCCTCTATTTGGCAAAGGGTACAGTCTGCTATTTAGGAGTTTCCCTTACATGCACGTGTGTGTGAATGCACTAAAAAATACCCATCCACCCAACTTTACCAGAAGATTTCCACAGAAAAGAATTGTGGCCAAAACAGTGTGATAGTGGCAGAAAGGCATATAGACCAATGGAATAGAATAAAGAACACAGAAATAACCCTTGCATAGATGGGCTAATTAATTTTTGGCCAATGTGCCAAGACCATTGAATGGGGAAAGGATAGTCTTTTTGACAAATGGTGCTGGGAACACTACATATTCACACGCAAGCAGATCTTGCTATAGTTTGAATGTTTTTGCCTCCCCTGGCAAATTCATATGTTGAAACCTAACCACCAAGATAATGATATTAAGGATGGGGTATAGGGGGCTGGGAGGTGATCAGGTCATGAGGGCTCTGCCCTTGAACTCTTACAAAAGAGGCTTGAGGGTGCTTATTCTCCTTATCTGGCTTGTGAGGACATAGCAAGAAAGCACCATCTGTGAGGAATAGATCCTCACCACACCCCATATCCACTAGCACCTTGATCTTGGATTTCTCAGCATCCAAAACTGTAAGCAATGAATTCCATTGTTTAGGTATTACCCAGTGTATCCCAGAGATGTAGTCATGGTTCAACATAAGCAAATCTATAAATGCAATGCACCACATAAACAGAATGGTTGCACATTATTATGGAAATTATGTGTGTGTGTGTGTGTGTGTGTGTGTGTGTGTGTGAGAGAGAGAGAGAGAGAGAGAGAGAGAGGTACTAGAGATTAAATCCAGGGGTGCTCTACCACCAACCCACATCTCTACTCCTTTTTATTTTTTATTTTGAGACAGGGTCTCACTAAGTTGTCCAGGCTAGTCTTGATCCTCTTGCTTTAGCCTCCAAAATCTTTGGGATTACAGATATGTACCATCATTCTGGCTATTATGGATGTCTCTAACACCAATAAACTGTACAATTAAAAAGGTTGAGATGATTAATTTTCTGTTATCTATATTTTACCACAAGTTTAAAAATGGACAGAAAAAGAGGGTACCAAGAGAGTTAGAATCAGAGAAGAGAGTCATAATGGAAGCAGAGCTTAGAGAGAGGTGATTGGGAGGTGGAAGAAGGAGCCACAAGCCAGAATGTAGGCAGCCTGCAGATGCTGGAAAAGATAAGGAAAAATATTGTCCTGAGAACCATCAGAAGAAACTAGCCCTCTGACCCCAGGAAGGACTGATTTGAGATTTCTGATCTTTAAAAGTGTAACAGAGGGGCTGAGGTGTGGCTCAGTGGTAGAGCACTCGCCTAGCATGTGCGAGGCACTGGGTTCAATCCTCAGCACCACATAAAAATAAAAATAAAGGTTTTGTGTCCAACTACAACTAAAAAATATTTTTTTAAAAGTGTAACAGGATAAATTTGTGGGGAAGGGAGGAAAGAATAGCATTGTTATTCAATTTATAACTGAATCAGATAATGGGAATGATTATATTCCTAATTTATACTTCTTGTTTTCTCTTGAGTTAACTGTATTCTTATTTGCTTACATTTCTGTGTACTTGTCACTAAATGTACACTTGAGTATCCTTTTTTTCTTTTGGGGGGTGCTGGGGATTGAACTCAGGGGCACTCGACTACTGAGCCATATCCCTAGCCCTTAGAGACAGGGGTCTCACTGAGTTGCTTAGGGCCTTACTAATTGTAAGGCTGACTTTGAACTTGTGATCCTGCTGCCTCAGTCTCCAAAACTGCTGGGATTACAGGCATGCGCCACCACACCCAGCCTAAATGTAAACTTGAATATCCCAGTTCCCACTGTGCACTTTGAACAAATTACCTCATCTTTTTGTGCCTCAGTCCCTCATTGGCAAAATAGAGATAAAAATAAGAGATTTTCATGGGCTTTTGTGAGGATTAAATGAGTTAGTGTATATCAGAGTTTGGATACTGCCTGAATATAGTAAATTACTCAGTAAGTGTTAGTTACTATTTCTACCCTCCCAGAGTACAGCCAAGAAACAAGGTGGGCATGGGTGCTACTGCCATGTGATCATAGGAAGAGACTTAATGAGGCCTTATTAAGGTTTGCTTTTCAGAGTAAGACCAATTTACGGATGAGATGACTTTGCTGTGGAGGGGAGGTAGCCTAGCTCATCACAAGTGGCTTCATTCTTGACACAAAGTGGGCAACTCACTTTAATATGTTGCACAAATTATCTTCCTTCTCCTCTGTCATTGTGTGTCTGCCATCTGGTGGGTGCCCAGATTTTCATTCTAAAGACCCTGAGGTTTGGGCTTCTGCAGAATCCATGGGTCTGAACCAGTACAACAGCAATACTTATGTTAAGAAAAGAAAACAAATTTACTGCTTTTGGTGTTGATTTGTTTTCTTTTTCTAGGGCTTTGAGATGTGATGGTAGGTCATTTATTTACTAACTTTCTATTCTTTTAATGAATGAGCTCAATGCAATGAACTTTCCTCTTAGCACTGCCTTCATAGTGTTCCAGAGATTTTGATATTTTGTATCAGGGTTCTCATTTACCACTAAGTATTTTTTTTTATATCATCCCTATTTCTTCTGCTATCCATTCATCATTCAGTAGTGTATTATGTAATCTTTATGTGTTAGAGTAGCTTCTATTTTTTTATTTTATCATTGATTTCTAGTCCATTCCATTATGATCTGACAGAATGCAGGGTATTATTACCTAGGTGCCCTTCACACAGAGGAATGAAATTAGGGCATTTGCAGGTAAATGGATGGAGCTGGAGAACATCGTGTTAAGCGAAATGAGCCAATCCCCAAAACCAAAGGCCAAATGTCTTCTTTGATATGTGGATGCTGATCCAAAATGGGGGGAGGCTAGGGAAGAATGAACTTTCACTTTTCTCTATCATTTATAATCCCTATTATCCTACTAGTATTTGCAGCATCTGCCAGCATGTAAACTAATTATAACAAATTAAAAAAAAAAAAAAGAAAAAGAAATCTAGAAGAGGGTAAAGTGGGAAGACCAGTGAAAGAAAGTATAAAGCAAATTATATGTCAGAAAGAAAAAATATTGGGGGAAGATTCATTATCTTTTGAATTTTGTTCCATGTGCATATATAATTAAATCAAAAATATATAATTTTTCAGAAACTAGAATTAAGTCTTCTCTATGAATACTAGGAGATAAAAGTTGAGAGGTAATTGAATTTGAAACCTAGGGGTTGGAGTTAGAGCTCAGAGGTCGAGGGGATACTTAGCATGCTGGGTTGAATTCCCATCATCTCATCCAACCTAAAATGAGTAAAGCCTGACCCAGCAGAAGTTTGGGGGTCCTCTGTTATGCAGGCTCATCCACACATTGATTTTTCTTTTTTCTTAAGCACAGCATCTGCATCTTTAATTAAAATATTTACAGAGCTATTGTTAGTAGGTAGGATTTTTGTTATGCCACACACCTGTGTATTTCCAAGTTTCTCTTCTTGAAACAGATTTATTAAGTTCTATTAAATACTTAAGATGTGTAGCTAATGAAAAGTGGAGAGATTTCAATAGAAATTATTCTTAGGAGCTTAGAAATAGTTGTGCCTGGTAGTTTTACAATGTTGGAGTAGAGCATTGTGCAGTTTCCTGAACATACTCACATTATCAGTTGATCCTCTGCACAGAAGCCCCATGTGATTCTTGCTATTCTCAGCTTTGTCCATGAACTAAAATTAGAACTAGGCTGACATTACACTTCACTTGGTTACAGCCTGACGGTGGATTTTAGTCATTTGGAACCACACGGAAAAAATTCACCCCATAATCTATTCTTCAATGATAATCACTAACTTTGGGCATGACAGCTTCAGTGTCCACCAATGATGGTAAGTATTTTTCCATTTTCCAAAAAACATTTCTTCTCCATTCTTTATTCTATCTCAATAGAGTGCTGATGATGACTTTGTGTCTGTAATTGCCGCTTGGGATTGAATTTAAGTATTTTTTGGGTCCATAATCACTTATACAATTGTCCTCCTCTGGAAGATAGATTTCCCCTACAAGCTGGAAGCATCTCTTCTAGGATGGTATTTCTTTTGACTTTGACAAGCCAACCCTCCATCATGTCATTGCCATCCTTATCTCACTGCCATGCTGTTCTGTTCCAGGAATAACCAAGGTAGAGACCACTGTTTTGTGTTAGAGGCAGAAATGCAAGCATTATCAATGACTTGTTTTCCTTTAAGGGAAATTGGTCATTAGATGAAAATCAAATGACCAAAATTTAACAGCCAAAGAGGAAATGAATTAGCAAATGACTAAACAGTGATATGTGTGTAGTAAAATTCCTACATACATGCAGATAGCTGGGATTTTAAAATATTTTTAATATTTGATATTATTTAAAGTATTTACCAAATACTTTAAAATGTGAGACAACAAATTATAGGTGATATGACCAGATAGTTGAATTACTAAAAAGATTTCTTTCTTTCTTGTTAAGTTTTTTTTTAGTTGTAATTGGACACAATACCTTTATTTTATTTATTTATTTTCATGTGGTGCTGAGGATCGAACCCAGCACCTGGCATGTGCTAGGCAAGCGCTCTACTGCTGAGCCACAACCCAGCCCCACCAAAAAGATTTCTTGATGACAAAATGTTCTTGCAGTCTGTTCCTTATATTGCTTAGAAATGGGGACTCTCCTAATAATTTTCTGAATACTGTTAATTACATAGCAATCCTGGCTTTTTTCTTCTGCAATACAGTCCTTCTCTCTCTCTCTCTCTCTATCTACCTATCTATCTTTCTGTGTGTGTCTCTCACACACACTGCATAATTTTAGTTTAAAAATATCAGTAATTTAGAACCAGTTATGATGGTGCATGCCTGCAATGCCCACAACTCTGGAGGCTGAGGCAGGAGGATTGCAAGTTGAAGGCTAGCTTGGGCAAGTTAATGAGACCCTGTCTCAAAATTTAAAAAAATAAAAAGAGATGGCAATGTAGCTCCGTGATATAGCACTCCTAGGTTCAATTCCCCATAAAAAATCAATAATTTAGAAAAGATTAACAGTGAAAAGCAACATTGTTTACCCCATTTCTCACCATTACCATCCTGTTCCCTAGAAGTAAACATTGTAACCATTTTGGGATTTAATTTTCAGGGATTATTTGCAAATTTCCTTTTTTGAAGTTAGATACATGCTATTTCTTATTATTTCAGGCATTATCTATGGAGCTTTATTATGAGATGGTGATTAAGTTCCTTTATACCCCATAATGTGATGTTTTTAGTGTCTTTCTTGATTCCTTTTTCTTACTGTAAATTTTGATTGTTTAGTTTTTTATGAGACAGGGTCTCACTATATTGTCCAGGCTGGCCCTGAACTCCTGGGCTCAAGCCACCCTCCTACCTCTGCCTCCTGGGAAGCCAGAACTACAAGCATGTGTGACCAAGATGGCTTTAAAATGTTTTAATATCAATGTAAAAGGAGACAAGAGTTTTACAAGCAGATTTTAGAACACTAATATTCATTTCTAAAATGATGTCTCTTCTTTTTAGAAGCCTCAATGTGAATACCTATAAATCTTACAGAACATATTTGTTCCATTTTAACATATCTATAGCTGACAAACATGTACTATAATTTTCAAATCAAAGGCCTCTAGTGGAAACAGTCAAGTTAAAAATGACGTGTTTTAATTTCATTTTTAGTCTTGAAATCCAGCAAGAGACCCCCTTTCCCCTCACAGCTTAGAAAAAAAACACTTCCAATTCCTTTCTAGAGGACTGGTGGTGTTGACAGCTTTTAATTCTCATTGTCAGCATCTAGACATCCCTGGTTCAGTTTATGTATATTAACGTCACAGTTCCAGTTGCTGAAAATGCCTCATGATTTTCTTTACTTTATTACAATTTGGTATGGCACCTGTCACCAAGGCACAGTGTGGGAAAAGAGCCACCAGGAACACAATGGTCTGACTACAGAGTTAGCCATACACCCTGGATCTGTCAACTCAGTGAGGCTACTAAGGGAAATATAAAATTCTAGGAGGCATGCCTTTTTCCTCTTTATTTTTACTATTTTGAAAAAACACTGCTTAGAACATTCTTGTTAATGTTTCCTAGTGGTGACATACCCTTCCCCAGTAGGGACTGCCAGTGAGTGGAACTGCTGGATTATAAACTGCATATTCTACTCCAGAGTGATTAAGAATGTATACGAATTTACATGACTCAAATTTCCACTAGCATTTGGTGTAGCCAGGTTTTTTGTTTGTTTGTTTTTAGTTTTAGTTTTTAGTTATACTTGGACACAATACTTTTATTTTATTTATTTATTTCTATGTGGTGCTGAGAATCAAACCCAGTGCCTTGCATGAGCTAGGCAAGTGCTCTACTGCTGAACCACAACCCCAGCCCCAGTCTTTTTAAATTTGATTACTCTGATAGATGTGTGTTGGTATTTTATTATGGTTTTAATTCACTTTCACAAGGTTGAACAGAATTTCATGTTTTTTTTTTTTTTTGCGGGGGCAATTTCTGCCATTTAGATTTCATCTTTTGAATTAACTGTTAAATTGTTGACTTTTTTTCCCCCTTTTGATGCTGGAGATAAAATCCAGAGCCTTATTCATGTTAAACATGCACTCTACCACTGAGTTCTGCCCCCAGCCCTGTTGTCTTTTTAAGTTGATTTTTAGGAATTCTTTATCTATTGTAGATAGAGCTCATTTGTGGTGACATGTGCCACCAATATCTTCCCCACTACATGGTATTCCTTTTATTTTCTAAGTGACATCTTTTAATAAAGTTCATAATTAATATAGTCCGATCTATCAATCTGTTCCTTTAAGGATATTCTTTGTATTCCATTTTATTTATTTATTTATTTTTTATTTTTATTTATTTATTTTTTTTTCGTGTTTGAGATTTTATTGGCTGTATTGAGAATCAGTACACAGACATTTCACTTTGTACACAATTCTTAACACATGTACCGGAAATCTAAAAAGCTTTATACTGTGATTCTTTTTCAGTTATTCCAGTGACTTTCCAGCTTTTAATTTGGAGGCATTTTTTCCTTAATAGAATATCAAGTACCAGTATCTTTGAATGTTATTACTTAGGTCCCACTAATTCAAAACTTTGTCACACACAACATACTCAAATTTTTCATCTTTCACAGCACATTAAAAATATTAGGAAAACTAGACTTCCACAACCAAAGATGTTACAGAGTACATACGATTCTGACAGCAATGATCCAGTAGTGGTCTTCTTTAGGAAACAATTCTACTAAAAAACACAGGAATAGAAGTAATTTAAAATATTCAAGACATTAAATGCAATACTGTGACTCCAAACTGCCATTTAATATGCTTTGTATTGTAGGATATAAAACTAACCCCCCACCTATGGAATGTTAAGCTGATACCAAAGACAGTCCAAGCCTCCCATAATTCAATATCCCACTATTTTCTGGTTGTACCCAAAAATAAACAACCAGCAAATGATTTCACTTCTAAAAAAAAAATCATTTACACTTAAAAAATGGGATGAGGTGGGATTCCCTCCTTTTTAAAAATGTTTCTAGAGCTACTAAAAAACTTGCATTTACAAAATAGTTGATAAAAATATTCCTCTGGATTGTACAAGAAGGGAGACGGGACCACTGAAAAGACATGGTGTATGATTAATCAGACTTGGCTTCTTTCTCTTCTGCTTCATCAGAAGCTGGACTCTCCTCATTTTTCGTTTCTCCATTTTCTGCAGGTAAATCTTCTTTAGTTTCCTGGTTAGCCACTTCAGCCTGTTTTCCCTTTGCTCCCCTTTTCCCTTTTTGAACTTTTTTTGTCTGATGATTTATCCTTGAGAAGGGGGGGGGAAAAGATTACATCTGCTGTCCCAAACCCACTGGGGGTAAAACTGTTTGCATCTTGCCCGCCGCCTTCCGAGGCTTGGCGTCCGCCTTGGCAGGAGCAGGCTTAGCCGACAGGCGGGCCAACCTCCGCTTGGGCTCCTCCTTCGCCGCGCCTTCGGCCGAGCTGACCTTCCTCTTGGGCATCCTGGCGGCGCGCGGAGCACGTGCGAGTGCTGCGAGCCGCGGCGCGCGGAAGCCTTCCGAAGCTGCGCTGCCTAGCTGCTGCTGCTGCTGTTGCTCCGGGCCGCCGGAGCTGCTCTGAATTCCATTTTAGGAAGTGTTCCCTAGAGTGGGATGTAGAGCACTTGCCTAGCTTGTATGAGGCCTTAGGTTCAATCCCAGCACCTGGAAAAAAAAAGTATTCCCTACTTTAAGGACATATATCTTATATTTTCTCCCCAAACCTTTATGTTTTGGGAGACTTGCACTATCACTTATAGAGCTATAATACATCTGGAATTAAATTTGGTTATATATATATATTTTAAACTGTCCAAAAAAATCATTCTGGCAGTATTCTGCAATGCTCATTTATGTATGGGATCTGTTTCTTATTGAATTACATTGATCTGTTAGTGCACTGAACCAATACAACACTCTCTACTACTAAAGCTTTAAAAGAGGTCCTGATCGAATAAATCCTCCCACTCTAGTTTTCTTTGTCATGAGTATTTTGGCTATTTTGTATGTTTAGAATTGTTATTAATATTAGAATATGAGAGTCAAGGTAGCACTCTTGGTTTCCAGATGGGGTTTTTTGAGACTGTTTATAGCTCAATTTGGAAATATCTGATGTTCTTACAATATTGAATCATAAATATGATGTAGAACTCTTATTTAGGTCTTCTTTAATTTCATTATATTTTTTAGTTTACTGTGTAGAGGTTGTACCCAGTCTGTTTATTCTTGAGAACTTGGTTTTTTGCACTATATAAAATGGTATCTTTAAAAAGTTAATATCTGCTTTGCAGCTGGGCTCAATGGCCCACATCTATAGTACCAGCATTCAGAAGGCTGAGACAGAAGGATTTCTTGAGTCCAGAATTTTAAGGCCAGCTTGGGCAACACAGCAAGATCCTGTTAAAAAACAAAAGGAATATGGACTAGTATACTAGTTTTGGGAACTAGAAAGTGTCCAGTAAATATTAGGTATTATGATTATTACATTATTTTTCCAGTACTGGGGACTGAACCCAGGGTCTCATGCATGCTATCTACCACTAAACCACGTCACCAGCCCTTTTTATTTTATTTTCAGACACGGCCTCACTTAGTTTCCCAAGCTGGTCTCAAACTTGCAATCCTTCTGCCTCAGTCTCCAGAGGAATTGGAATTACAGATGTGAGCCACCATACCCACATCAATGAACATTTGAAACACATTGCTTTTTTATTTTTTTATGATCCAATTAGGTCCTTTCTGAGATGGCATCTGTGATTCAGCAGTTCAGAACTTAATGAAGCTGATGATTCTATGACAATGTGGAGAAATCATGACAGAAAATGTGGTTTGTACTGGGGCTGTTAATGCTGTAAAAGAAGTGTGGGAAAAACGAATAAAGAAACACAATGAAGATCTGAAACGAGAGAAGGAATTTCAACACAAGTACTTACTATATTTATTATTTTGGATTAGTGAAAATTCATAATCTCATCATTATAAAAATCACTTATGAAGTGCCTCATTGTTGAATTTTATAGAGATTTTTATTTACAGAATGTTTAAAATATATTTAAATACCTGACTCAATTAAATTCTGCCTATGTAAGAGTTACAAAAATAATATCTGTGTGTGAGAATAGTAGTTATACTGTGCCCTCATAGGACTCTGTTTAGCATTAATTAAGGTTTGATTAGTATCACTTGGTCTAATTGTCAGGCTTGTTTTGTACAGCATTAATCTTTTAGGATTTTAAAAAACATCTGGCAGTAGAAGGTACTACTTATTCCCACCTACTTGAGTGGCTGTGAGTTCCAGCAGGATCATCTAATTCCTTGATTGGGGCTATCTTTAAATAGTATGGCTCTCATTTCCTCTGCCTCCTTGATATCTGACCTACTTTTCTAATTGGTTGTCTTGAAAATACTCTGCTAATCTTTCAGAAATAGCCCATTTCCTCATAGTAAATAATATAAAAATGATGTAATTGAATAGCTAGCATTACGCAATTTGTCTCAACTTGCCACACCTATCTTCCTACGAGCTATTCAGAACCTTCATTAAGTTCTGAATAGCTCATAGGAAGATGAGCTATTCAGATTAGAAGGCCACGGGAACCCCATTATCACAATGCACTTGTTAACTAATTAGAAATTTCATGCAACTGAGAGATTAGAACAAACAGACTTTATTAGAAGTATTTTGCAAACCTAAACACATAAAGACAACAAACATTATACTTGCAGGGTTTTTGTTTTGTTTTCTATTCTTTAAAACCCTCACTGAAAATCAGTTAACACACAAAACTTCAAAAATTCTCAGATGTCAAGATATTTTTGGCAAATAAATATACAAATTAATTAAACCTTATTTTTTGATGACTGCTTTTTAAAAATTATGTACTTTTTAATAGGCTAAATTTGATTCTAAACTTGATTCTAAATTTGATTCCTTTGCTTTTTCATATGTGAAAAAATTTCTAGGGGCTGGGGTTATGGCTCAGTGGTAGAGTGTTCCCTTAGCATGCATGAGGCACTGGGTTCAGTCCTCAGCATGCATAAATATAAAATGAAGATATTGTATCCACCTGTAACTAAAAAGTAAATATTAAAACAATTTCTAGGATACAAATAGAAAAATTTTTGCATCTTTTTGCTCACTATCTTTATAGTCAGCATAGTATATGCACATTATTCTTATATATGTTCTCAATGGATAAACTTTATTTGGTATAGTGCTTGCCTTGAATGTGTGAGGCCTGGGTTTGACCCCTAGTATGGTGACAAACAAAACATTAACTATCTAAGGATTAGTCAGCAGGAAAAAGCACATCAAACCCACAATGTGATACCATTCACAACCACTAGATGGATATAATAAAAAGTGGGCAATAACAAGTATTGGTGAGGGTGTGGGGAGATTAGAACTCTGATATACAGATGGTGGGGGGTGTAAAATGGTATAGCCAATTTGGAATTTAGTTTCAGTTTGGCAGTTCCTAAAAAGACTAAACATAAAGCTACCATATGACCCAGAAATTATGCTCCTAAAGATATACCCAAGAGAAATAAAAACATATAATCTGTCAAAGGAAAAAATTACAATTCAAAGATCTTAATTGGCTTTCTTTTTAATTCTAGAATTAGGCAACATTTCCATGAAATTCTGTGTTCTGAGGGACTGAACAGAAGAAGTTACTTTTATAGAAAGAAAAGGACTGAAAAAAGCAAAAACAAAGTTACTTTCAAACTTTGTTTCTAAGTTGTTTTCTCTGTAAGACAGGAAAAGGAAGATAGAACAATAGAAAATTAATTGGCTAACATTGGATTATTTCAAGTTACCTTCTTTGTACAAGGAGGAAGGCAGAGAGAACTTCATTGCCATTCTAGGAAACTGAATGGAAAGTTGGCTGATAACTTTCTCTTCTGATTTCTTGGCATGGTCAGATAACAACTTAGTTTCTGTTTTGTGAATTGGAACCTTAGCATGTGTGACTTTATTTTGATTTTTATTCTGGTTTTTTGGAGCTTAATCCAAAATAATGGCCTCATATCTGGGCATGATGACTGTAATTCTAGCTAATTAGGAAGCTGAGGCAGGAGAATTGCAAGTTCAAAGTCAGCCTCTGCAACCTAGCAAGACCCAATATAACAATTAAATAACAAGGACTGGGGATGTAGCTTAGTGGTAGAGCATCCCTGGATTCATTTCCCAATATAATAATAATAGCCTAATAACCTCCCCAAAATTTTAATAGTTCACACAAAAACTTATACACATACATTTGTAGTAACATTATTCATAATAGCCAAAGAATAGAATTATCCAAATACTAATCAACTGTTGAATGAACAAACATGATAAACTCATCTGATGAAATCATTCTGCCATAAAAAGAAATGAAGTACTGATACATGTTACAGCATGAATGAGCTTTGAATAAAAATATACTAAGTGAAAGATGTCAAACACAAAGACACACATTGTATGATCCTATTTATATGAAATGTGCAGAATAGGCTATTAGTAATTCCGAGGGAATAGGGAAGGGGTATGGATAAGGAAATTTTTTGTTTAATGGTAAAGTATTTTGGATTTAGATAATGGTGATGGTTGTATAATGTTGTGAATATACTAAAACCTACTGAACTGTATACTTTAAATGATGCATTTTGTGCTATGTGAATTATATCTCAATAAAACTATTATAAATAAAATTTATGAAGAATTATGGTCCTTATCAAAAACTTAGCACTGGAAGTATATCTCAGAGGTAGGGCATGCATTTAGAATGCAAAAAAACAAAACAAAACAAAACAAAACTCTTGGCTCAATCTCTAACACCAAAACAACAACAACAAAAATATAGTTCTACTGGACCTAAGTTCATCTACTCACCACTCAAAAGCCAATACTTGAGAGATCAGGAGATGGGGTGAAAGAAATCAGGTTTATTCAAGAGCTAACAAAATGGAAGATGGAGAGGGCTATCAGCCCCCATCCTCCTCATAAAAGACCATCTTAGGGAACTCACGTATGCATAAAGACCTTTGTAGAGAGGGAAAGGATGTTCAGGGGACAGTGGGTAGGTACTTGCTGGGCTGGGTCTTGATCATCAAGGGCAAGTGTCTCCTTTCTCCCCAACCCCAACTAGAACACTGCAATTGACCTTGGCTTCCTAAGGCTAGTTCCTATAATTTTTTTAAAATATCTATTTTATTAGCTGTTGATGGACTTTTATTTATTTGTTTGTTTGTTTATTTATATGTGGTGCTGAGATTCAAACCCAGAGGCTCACACATGCTAGGCAAACGTTCTACCACTAAGCCCCAGCCCCAGCCCTAGTTCCTATAATTATTTAGATAAACATAACTTTTCTGCAAGTTAAATTTTGTAAAAATTGATGTTTTATGTTAGTTGATGCACAGGACTTAAGAATGGGGTATTATACATTCTAATGTTATCCCAAGGTCACCAGATATTCTGGGTTCTGAAAATCTAAAAAGAAAGATAATAATTTAGATGCTTTTTTTTTTTTTTTAGAATTTAGAATTTAGAATTCAAGGCAAGTGGAGGGGAAGTATCTCTACAAAGGACAACTTCTAAAGGATCAGCCACAGTTAAAATAAGGCATTTGTGGTACTAATCATATGTATAACTTTTGCTAAATAAAATCTCATCCTGTTTCCAGATACCATTGAACCAATGGTTTTTTATTTTGGTTTATTTGGGTATTAAGGATTGAACCCAGAGGTGCTTTACCACTAAGCTATATCCCCATCCATTATTTTTTGAGACAGGGTCTTGCTAAATTGCCCAGGCTGTCCTCCAATTTCTGATCCTCCTGACTCAGTCTCTGGAGTAGCTGGGATTACAGGATTACTGCACCTACCTTCCCAAGTTGTTTTTGATGGGATATTTTATTTTATTTATATGAAAATGAACACTACCTTTGTCATTATCTATAAGTCAAAATGATTACCTGATCTCCTAGGCTAGTGCGGATCTGGGAAGAGAGAGTAAGTTTAACTAAGCTCAAAGAAAAGGTCACCAGGGAAGATGGAAGGGTCATTTTGAAGATAGAAAAAGAAGAATGGAAGGTAAGCTTTATAGAAGTAATATTTTATTTTTCTACTTTTTGCATTTTGTGGAAGAGTTGAAAATGAATCTGAAACTGTGTAATTAATACAGGAATAATCGAAAATTCCTCCCCCTCCTCCCCCTCCTTCCCCTCCTCCTTTTCCTCCCCCTCCTCTCTCTCTTCCCCCTACTCTTCTCCTTCTCCTTCTCCTTCTCCTTCTCCCTTGAGATTGAACCCAGGGCCTTGTGCATGCTAAGCAAGCACTCTACCAACTGAGCGATATCCCCAGCCCACAATTCTAATATTAATAATACACCAAATGAATCTGGACAACATAAACAATAGAAAAGAAACATCACATTTTTTTTTTTTTTGCAAAAATTCAATTTGCTTTAATCTTGCCTAAATTTAAGTCACATGTGATATTTCTTCTTCTAATACTAATCGGCAGTTTCTCATTTGCCATGAATGGATGACTATCTACCTAATGAAAATTATGTAGCTTTTCCAAAAAAAAAAAAAAAATGCTCAGTTAAAACTTCTCAAAGTGGAAATGAATATCAATTTATCTGTTAGGTGTATCTTCCAGTTCATATGCTTTTTTCCCTCCCTTGAACGTATGTGCATACAGATATACAGTGGCTTCATTATGTTAGATATACTTTAATTTTTTCAAGGGCTTCTAACCCTTCAGTGTTTGTTTTTATTGTCATTATTGTTATATATCTCCATGAAAACAAATGCTTACTGAAGGGTTAGAAGCCCTTGTAAAAATGATATATATTTTACTATTTTCTTAGTTGTTGAGAGACCTTCATTTTATTTATTCACTTATATGTGGTGCTGAGGATTGAACCCAGTGATTCACACATGCCAGACAATTGTGCTACTGCTGAGCAACAGCCCCAGCCCCAATATAGGTATACTTAACTATGTGGTTAGCTCCTTTGTTTTCTTTTCTATTTAACACTGAAATAGAAAAGGCATAAAACTCAGAATAGTTCAAATTCTTAAAATTCCTCACTTAAAAAAATTCTATAAAATTTTTATGAAATACTTCAAAATAGAAGTGAAAGGGACATTTAAATTATGAACGAAGATGTTTTCTGGATAGTCTCATTTTCAATAGCATATGTAGTCTAGGAAAGCCAGATATAACATGATCTTTAGGATAGACTTCAATGTATGTGCATAACTGACCAAAATGTGTTATTTTTGTTTATTGCATTTAATTGAGGTTGGAAATTTTAGTTAAAAAATTAAAAAGCATAAAGATCTTAAAACTCAGTAACACAAAATACTTGGAAATATAACCCATTAAGAGAAAGAAACATTTCTAAATGTTTTCACAAATTAAATAAAATCACACTTCAGGATGGTATAATACTAAAATAGTTTAAGTAATATGTCTCCATTATTTCTTTTACTTTAGAGTCTCCCTTCTTCTTTACTGAAGCTGAATCAGCTACAGGAATGGCAAATTCATAGAACTGGTTTGTTGAAAATTCCAGAATTCATTGGAAGATTCCAGAACCTTATTGTGTTAGATTTATCTCGAAACATAATTTCAGAAATACCTCGAGGAATTGGTAAAGATTACTTTTATTCCTGTGCTATTTTATCTTCTTGAAGATGTGCTTATTTTATTGAGTTTTTAATAACATGGAATAAATATATCTTTATATATCTGAATTGTAAGAAAATTTTTAAACATTTAGTCTAAATTGAAGCTTCTAGGGGATCCAAGCTACTGGATTTACTGAGGTGATTCAAGATGAGATTTCAATGTGAGCAAAATATCTTTAAAAATATTGTTCTATAGATTTTGAAAACAATATTACTGGTTTAGCTATTCCTCAGACAGGTTGGAAGCAATAAAGAAAAACAGATTTGTCAAATAGAGAGCAAAATTCTCACATGGAAAATTGTTTAGGATGTAGTTTCTTTGTTTTTATTGTCATTATTGTTTGCAGTGCTGGGGATACAATCCAGGCCCTTGTGCATGCTAGGCAAGCCCCTTACCACTGAGCTACACCCCAGCCCAGGATGTACATAAAACAGAATGAAAATAAGTTGTTTTTTTTTCCCCATGGCACTGATATACCTGTCCATTGTTTAAAGAAGAGGCAGCATACAGACTGGGAACAGGGAAGAATATAAGAATTTGCCAATACACAAATAATTTCTGCTGTAATTACTCAGTAAGGAAAACAGTACTTTATGTCCATCTTCTTTCTATTGTGTACTTTTTTTTTTTTTTTTTTTTTTTTTTGTAGGACTGCTCACTAGACTTCAGGAACTGATTCTGAGCTACAACAAAATCAAGACTGTCCCCAAGGAATTAAGTAATTGTGCCAGCTTGGAGAAACTAGAACTGGCTGTTAACAGAGATATATGTGATCTTCCTCAAGAGGTCAGAAAGCTCTAAATGCCTAAGATGTTATTTTCCCTCTACTGGAACTTTGCTTTTCAATTATGTGATTGTTAAAAGTGAAACTAAAAAGAAAATGCTACAAATTTTATTTCAGAAAAATATTTAGTGAAGATTATTTCCTATTATTATAAAGCAGGTTTTTAATTAGAGAAAAATCTATTTAGCATAACTTATACTTCTGTTATTGTCACAGTGATACTGAAAGCTTGGTCCTTGTCCCTGAAGCTACTCCTATAACAAGGACAAGATTTTTGAGAAAAAAGAAAAAGGTTTTATTGATTTGCTGGCAAATGATAAAATATAGTGGACACACATCTTAGAGACTGTGATTCTAACTGCCAGGGGAACAAAGGACTCTAAAAAGGGGGATACAAGGGCTTTTTTTTCCCCAAGTATCATTAGGAATAGATATAATTAGTTGTTCAACTTATATTCTTTGAGAAAGCTGTTTTTCCAGGTTCCGGACTGGCATTTCTTTATTGTTTCGGGAATGAAGCAGAAAGATTGATAGCAGTGGCTTAGGACAGGAAGAATGTCACTCTTGCTTCCCCAGGGTTAGGGAAGAAAGAGGGAGAAAAGGGAGGGGAAAAATATATTAGTTTAAAAAGAAGCCACTAGTGGTTAAGCAACAAGGTTTATATTTAAAGCATAGGGTGGAATCATGTATGACAGTACTGAGGTTGTTTTTTGACTAGACTGTCATCTCCTTGAAGGCCAGAATAAGAGTTTTATTTATTTAAATTCCTAGAATTGGGTTGGGGCTGTGGCTCAGAGGTAGAGCGCTTGCTAAGCATGTGTGAGGCACTGGGTTCGATCCTTAGCATCACATAAAAATAAAATATTGTGTCCACCTGTAACTAAAAAATAAATATTTTAAAAAATAAATTCCTAGAATTGAGGGCAATCCTAGGTTATTGTGGTTACTTAATAAATGCTTTTTAGAATGAATGATTATTATAAAGCACAGAAAATGTGGTGATAGAAAAACTTTTTACTAGTTGTTTTTTGCGACAGAGGTGAAGTGTAAGGCGTGAATTCTAGGAAATCTATTTCTTGCTAGCTTCCTAGGCTCTTCAAACTTTGATTTGGCATGATGTCATTGCTTAAACCAAACTGATCATATAAATATAAAGACATTTGCATTACTTTCTATATATTAATGCTCTTAGAATCAGCCATGGAAATGTCCAATGTCTTAGCTATTGTTTTATAAAATAATAGCTAAGAAAAATAATGAAGCCCAAACTAAAAATCTATTCCCTTTTCCCATTTATCTTGAGAGCATATCAAGAGTGGAACAATGTAGCCAATAATAACTTCTCTTGCAAGTAAAACACAGTATATATGTTTCATAATATAATAGTTGCATTTAATGAAACATATGCCCTTCCATATGATGAAAATTATCACATGGAAAATTTCTTTACACACACAGAAAGATCAGTAAATCTTTTTTTCTAATCCTTGTGACTTTGTTTCTAGAATTGGCTGTCACTAACAAGCTGTGTGAATTTATGCATGTCTATAAACCAGTTTATCTTAGTTTCTTCCCTTTAGGAGACTGGTTATATAGGAATAAAAATATTGAGCTGGGATTGTTCCATTCCAAAGTGTAGCCTTTAAGTAACTCTGTGTCCTTGGATACACTTTACACTTTAGATCTCAGTTTTCACATATGCAAAATTAGAATTGTCATATTATCATTACTTTATTATCTTTTCAATCATCTAAAGTCAACATTTTATTACTACTGAAAAATCAGCAATTGAACTCATCTGTCCTATTTTTTTTAATACTTATTTTTTAGTTGTAGTTGGACACAATATCTTTACTTTTATTTATTTTTATGTGGTGCTGAAGATCAAACCCAGGGCCTCGCACATGTTAGGCGAGCGCTCTACCACTGAGCCACAATCCCAGCCCTGTCCTATGATTTACACACTGTTTACATATAAATATGTAAATGCTAATGTTAAAACAATCTTTTTATATGCTATTTGAACCATTTGGAAATTTATGAAATGTGATGACAGATTTTGAAAATGTTTATTTGGGACTTGAATTCTAAATCTGGAGAAACATCATCACCTACTAGACAGAACCTCCTGGGTTTTTGTACAATTTACAAAACATTGTATTTGTGTACTTTGGTACAGATATTGCAGAAGAAATGAACATGCCTCAAGAAAAAATAAAACATAGCCACTTCCCACAAATGGATAATATTTTTGTAAAAGTCAATGAAATTCTTGCATATTGAAACTTCCACTAGAATGTAAAAAGAGGAAGAAATGTGTGGTTTTTAATTCCATAAAATCTTGAGTTCTCTTCATAGATCTATCACTCCTAGTTATATGACCTGTTTGAGACATCTGATTCATAATGAAGCCCAAACTAAATGGACATTCACATCGTTTGGTTGATGTCAGAATTAGTCACTTGTTGCTGGGGGTGTATGCCTGTAATCCTAGGACCTCAGGAGGCTGAGGCAGGAGGTGTGAGTTCAAAGCTAGCCTCAGCAATTTAGTGAGGTTCTAAGGAACTCAGGGAGACGCCTTCTTTAAATAAAATATTAAAAAGGGCTGAGCGTGGGCCGGGGTTGTGGCTCAGCAGTAGAGTGCTCACCTAGCACATGCGAGGCCTTGGGTTCAATCCTCAGCACCACATAAAAATAAATAAATAAAGGTACTTTGTCCAACTACAACTAAAAAATAAATATTTATTTTAAAAAAAGGAGCTGGGCATTTTTACCCTATATACATGTATGATTACACTAGTAGAGTGACTCTGAACCATGTACAACCAGAGGAATGAGAAGTTGTGCTCCATTTGTGTACTATATGTCAAAATGCATTCTACTGTAAGATAAATTGGAAAAAAAAAAAAGGGCTCAGTAGTTAAGTGCCTCTGGGTACAGTGGTAGGCTCGGTGTCATGGCACATGCCTGTAATCCAATTTGATATTTGACATAAATAAATATATAAATATGTAAATCATTAGACACAAACTTTCAACAAAGAAAACTGTTGTTTTGAAGATTAAGTTTCCCCATATAATTCTCAACTACTGAATGAAATGAAAACATGATACTGAATAGTTACTCTCACAGGGGGGAAAAAACTTTTACCACACAGGCCCTGTTAACTCTGGAACTAGATTATTGTGGAAGATAAATTTTCTTTGAGTAGATGCAATTTCTTTCTTCTTTTCTCCTTTATTTGGACCTGGGGATTGAATCTAGAGCCTTGTATATGCCCAGAACACACTCTACCACTGTGTGGAATTATATCCCTAGTCCCAAATAGGAACAATTTCTTTGAGAGTTTTTCATATCACTGGAGTTTGTTTATTCAGCTTTATTTTTATTTTTAGTTTGTTCTGGCCTACTGTGCTTAAATTTTTTAAAGCCCAAGTGCAATACAAATGTTCATTGATATGATGTATCTCCTTTACCAATGTGAGTCTTCTAGGAATTTACATTGTAGACATTTATTTTGAAAAACCTTGCTTTCCTCTTCAGCTCAGCAGTCTGTTAAAACTTACTCACCTTGATTTGAGTATGAACCAATTTACTACAATCCCTCCTGCTGTGTTGAACATGCCTGCTCTTGAGTGGCTGGACATGGGAAGCAACAGACTTGAACAACTTCCTGATGCCATAGAAAGGTAAAATGAGTAACTTTTTATGCTACTGACAAATGCCTTAAAACCATCTGTGAAAAATAGGAACTAACAAGACAAAGGAGATGCCAAATATAATCAACCAGAACAGATCCATTTAGTTTGAAATATGCTGTCTTTAAACAGAATTATTTCATTGATTCTAAATAAGTGAAAGGAATTTGGGATGGAAAATCTGGCTATCTGCCTTCAAGACATTAACAGAATATACCATAGTGAGAACAACATTGCTTAGTGAATGCAAGGTATTGTGTGATTTACGAAAGAATGAGAAAACCAAGCACAGAGATGTTAGCAAACTAGCCTAAGGTTAGTTAATAATCATCTAATTTGTTAGGATTGGAACCCAGGCATGCTGGCCCATTCCATGCTGTTAACCATTATGCATTAATGCCTTCTTCTGAAGAAGCATGTTAATATTTTCTGATTTTTCTCTTAAGAGTCCAATAACAGTAGAAACTAAGAAAAATGAAGAAAACTAAAATATTTTTATTTCATTTTTACTACCATATGATATGAGAGCTATACGGTAGAGATTAATTCCACATGTAGTTTCTTAAATAATCAGGTAATCTAAAGTCATTAATCTAAGTAGCTGGGTGTGGTGGCACATGACTATAACCAGAGACTATGGAGACTGAGGCAGGAGAACACAAGTTCAAGGACAGCCTTAGCAACTTAGCAAGACCCTTTCTCAAAATAAAAAGGAATTGGGATATAGTTTAGTAGTAAAAGGGCCCCTGGGTTCAATCGCCAGCATTAAAAAACAAAACAAAAAAGAAAAAGAAAAAGAAAAGTGTGTTGGTTAAAAGACATATTATAGGAGCCAGGTGTGGTGGTGCATGCCTGTAATCCCAGCAGCTCAGGAGGCTGAGAAAGGATTGGGAATTCAAAGCCAGCCTCAGCAACAGCAAGGCACTAAGCAACTCAGTGAGACCCTGTCTCTAAATAAAATACAAAATGGGGTTGAGGATGTGGCCAAGTGTCCCCGAGTTCAATCCTTGGTACTGCCTTCCCCCCCCAAAAAAGATATATTACAGGGCTGGGATTGTGGCTCAGTGGTAGCACACTTGCCTAGTATGTGTGAGGCACTGGGTTCGATCCTCAGTACCACATATAAACAAATTAATTAATTAATTAATTAAATAAAATAAAACAAAGGTTAAAAAACAACAACAAAAAAAGACATATTACAAAAGAGGACATTTGATTTTTAAAGTAATAAGAACCTAGTATTTCATATTATGTGTGACTAATCACAGAAATCTCTTTTATTTCTTCAGAATGAAAAGTCTGCATACATTATGGCTACAACGGAATCAAATAACATGCTTGCCAGAAACAATCAGCAATATGAAAAACCTGGGCACCATTGTTCTCAGCAACAATAAACTGCAAGATATTCCACTATGCATGGGAGAAATGGAAAATCTGAGGTAAAAATTGTAAGATACAAAATGACATGTTCATTTCTGGCCACAGAACAAGTAACATACGTTGTTTATATTAATATAATTGGATCCTTACCTGTAAGAATGGATATATTTTAAAAAATCTTTGTCAGTGTTAAAATTCTATAATTTGATGCTTTGGATTCATATAATACTGGAATAAATTATTCAAGAAAGATACTTGAAACTAAGTACTGAGATTGATCATTTTTAAGAAATGTCTTATGTTGGTGGCATTTTCACAAAAATTATCTTCATACTGCTAGCAATTCTCATCAGCAACATAAAAACTAAAAGTTTTCACCAATAAAATAGTGATTATTTTCCTCTTAATTACAAATGGACAGAAAACTCTTACCAATAAAAAACAGATATAATTTTTATTAGTTATTATCAGGACTCCATGAAAACAGATATAATTTTTATTAGTTTTATCAGAACTCCATCATGTTTTTTTCAAAATTTAATTTTCTGACAAAATAATAGACATTAAATCCAAAAACTGGTACAAATCATCCTTCATTCATTCACTTATTCAGCAACTAAAGGCCTTGTGCTAGATGGCGAAAACACATTTATAGATCTGTATAAAACAGATCTATAAATAAAAAAATAAAAAGGGACAGGGATGGACAGATCTATTTTATAGATCTGTATAAAACAGATCTATAAAATAGGCAGAAACTAAATTCATAGCATTATTTATTTAAGATGCATTAGAAGTGCTCTTTAAAGTTAAACTGTATCACATTAAATATATGCCTATGAAATAATACTTCTTTTACTAAGCTTAGAAAATAAGTTGTTCAAAGCTAATATTTTTTTCTTCTAGGAAAGAAACTTAAAAGATTCTTGGGATATATCACATCTCACCCAGATGTTCAGTTATTGAAACCAGTTAAAAAAAAAAGAGTAATTTAGTATATTGTCATTTGATCTTTCTCCAGGAAAATAAATGTACACTTCCATGGCACCTATAAAAATACTGTTTTTTTGGTGAACTGCTAGGTTTGTCAACTTCAGAGACAACCCACTGAAACTGGAAGTAACACTTCCTCCCAGTGAAAGCGTAGATGAAGAGGAGGAACGGGAATTATTTGGCCTTCAGTTTATGCACACATACATACAGGAATCACGGAGAAAAGCAGGTAGGAGATTTGTATATAACATAGATCAAGTATTCTTTTTGGTAAGGAAATGTGTATATAATTTGCTCCTAACTTTCTGAGTTCTTTGATGGATTTCTCATTCCATCTTGCCTTTTCTACCAAATTCTGGTCTTTTGGCCAATATTGTAAGAGGAAAAGAAAGTAAGATTCCTCTCTGTTTATAATTCTGATAAGGATTAGGAGAAAAGTTGTAAAAATATTCAAAAAGCTGGGCATGGTGGCGCACACATGTAATCCCAATGGCTCAGGAAGCTGAGACAGAAGGATCACAAGTTCAATGCCAGCCTCAGCAAAAGCGAGTGCTAAGCAACTCAGTGAGACCCTGTCTCTAAATACAAAATAGGACTGGGGATGGGGCTCAGCGGTTGAGTGCCTCTGAGTTCAATCCCTGGTACCCCTCCCCCCCAAAAAATTCAAAATATTTCAAATGGAGTCAGGAAATAAATTCTTTGTCCAAGTACCTGAAGCACAAACAAGTGAATGAAGACACTATTCCTAGGACTTTACTACCTTTTTCTACCAGCTTGCCATATCTGTCATTTTGAACATCTGTATTTCTTTTTCTAGAATCCACAAATAGCAAAATACTATTTTACTTATAGTGAAAAATATTAAAAGAGAACAAATTTTGACAGAATGAATGTGAGGTTTTGATATACAGATTTCAATTGATTAGGTCTCTTATAATTTAGAATGAAACTTTTTTAAAATTATGAAAGCCTTTATATTAAGTCAAGATTAGGGGAATAGGGCAAAGAGCTCAATTCTCTGTTAATAAAAGCAATGAATCAGGTGTGGTGGTATACAACTGAAATCCCAGTAACTCTGGAGGCTGAGGCAGGACAATTAAATTCAAGGCCAGTCTCAGTAATTTATTAAGACCCTGTTTCAAAATAAAAAAATAAAAAGGGACAGGGATGGAGATCAGTGGTAAAGCACCCCTGGATTCAATTCCCATAAAAAGCAATGAAATGATAGCATAGTAATAGAAATCATGCCGGGCCCAGTTGCATAATCCCAGCTCCTCAGGAGGCTGAGGCAGGGTTCCAAGTTTAATACCAGCCTAGGCAATTTAGCAAGGCACTGTTGTTTTGTGCATACCGCTATTTAAAATTTAAAAAGAGCTGTGAATGTGGTTCAGTGTAAGAATACATGCCTAGCATACCTGAAGCCCTGGGTCCAATCCCCAGTACTCGGGGAGGAAAAAATGAAATAAATAAATCATGGCTTTATAATATACTAAAATGTGAAGTTTGAAGACTTTTTAACTCAATAGATTTTAGTTCAACTCAATGGAATGTTGAAGTAGTCATTAGAAACAGGGCATGGTGGTATTCTTCCTGTAATCCAGTGACTGGGGAAGCTGAGGCAGAAGGATCTTAAGTTTAAAGCCAGACTCAGCAATTTAGTGAGCCCCTGTCTCAAAATAAAAAAAATAAAAAGGGCTGGGTATGTAGCTCAGTGGTAGAGCACCCCTGGGTCCAATCCCCAGTACCAGAGGGGTGGGAGTGGAGGGTTAATGTTTAGGTCTCCTGAAGCAAGGCCACAGAAGCAATAGCATGGATACAGGTTGGGAGGAAAACAAAAAAGTTCTAATACTGTGGGGTCTAGTTTTAGAAAGTAGAAAGGATAAATTAAAGACAAGTAGGAAACTGAACTGCATCAGTATGATAATTTTTGGATATGTATGTATGTCTTATGAAACATATGAAACATAACAGATTATATTAGTTGTTGAATATCTTTTATTTGTGGGCATAAATTGTTTAATGATACAAAATAAACCTTATGATACAAATGAATATTTCTAATAATAAAATGAGGTTAACTATAGTAGGATGTATATCTTGTTATTTTGACTGGGGAAATGAGTAACTAAAAAAATTATCACACTATCTTACTTTAATAAGATTTGGCCTAAAACATACAAGAAGAGAGAAAAAAAAAAAGTAACAATTTAAACAAAGAGGAGATAAAATAAAAGCCCTCCTATTAATGTTGTTAAAAATAGATCCATGATTACTACTACTAGTAATTAATATTTGAGTACTTAAGTTTGTGCTTGGAACCATTCTAAGCATTTTATTTGTGTTGGCTTACTTGATGCACACAACAACCTTGTGAGGTAGGTTTTATTATTATTATTATTACTGCCATCCCCATTAAGAGGAGAAAACTGAGGCACAAAGAGATTAAGTAGCTTACCCAAGGTCACACAGTAAGAGGTGGTAGGATTGGGATTTGACAAGACATAAGTAGAAAGGTTGGAATGAAAAATGGGCTACAATTTTTCAATTATTTACAATTCTACAGGATACATATAGCTATTTCAGAATCTCATAATATCTAAAATTAATAATTCTGGATCTTTGTCTTGGCATATGATCAACAATTAAGAAAATGTTTACAAATAAATGCATAAACAAATCAAGGATAAAATGTGAGAGTAACATTCCTACTATATGTTTGGTTTAATATTTGCTTCTGCATAAAAACCACTTATCAGTTAAATAAGGCCTAAGTGTGAGAAGGTTTTGGTTTCATCATCTGATTTCTGTTTTAGTCCAAATTATTTTCTCCAAAAAACAGAGATCATACTTAATGTTTGAACTTACATATGTAAAAAAAACTCCTGGTAAAAGATATAAGCTACCAAGTTAACTTGATAAATTATTTGCAAATTTCAAATTTAATTTTTGGTTTATGCGTGTATAACTAGATAATCTAGTTATAATTATCCAACAGCACAAAAATGAAGTGAAACTTTTTTTTACTTAAAAATATTTCTTCAGTTTTGGTGTTTGTCCTGGACAAATTCTAATAGTATATAAATATAGGTATGGCTCTGGTAGTCTGAAAGTGATTGTATTTACTGACTGTGAACATCTCTGAATCTGTTTGCATTTGAGAAAAAGTACAGTTGATTATCATCTCCAGATCTGCATAGAAAAAAAATCCTCACATTGCCAAATTCTCAGGTTGGCCCTTGTTACAGATTGACAATTGGTCATTATGTTTTGAACTTGAGACACAAAAAATATTAAATATAATCAAAGGAAAAATATATTTCCCAAATAAATGCAAATAGAAATAGAAATTTAACATGTTAATTAATATGTTGATGTACTATGTGTGTTTCAGATGATGAAGTCAATTGTTTGATTACTTCACCAACTTCTATAAATACTGATGAATAATGTAATTCAAAATGCCCTGCCGAAGAGGATTACTTTGGGAATTTGATGAATTATTTGGACCTCTGAAGTAAAAAACAATTATTGCCAAAGTTTAATGAGGCCACAGTAGTTTTAAAGTTCACATTATCTGCTATTTAAATTATATTTTTGTGAATATAAAAATATAATTAAAAAATTTTTTTGGTGGAAGACAGATGATGTTCAAATTTCTTTCCTATTAAGCAGTTGTTTCTGGCGAAGAATGAATTGGTAAAGCAGTTAACAATACATTTTCCAAAGATACCAAAGGGTCTGTATAGTATTGTAAAGCAGGATTGAATCCCTTCTGCTGTAAATACTGGATTCGACCTTGGTCAATCAGCAATTTACAAAGATGCCCTATTTTCTTCTTTTCTTCAACAGTAAGAAGCCTAAATGGAATAAACACACAAAATTAACACTTTGTAAACTTTTAAAAAACTTTTAGTTACTTGTAATTATTGAAAAACTGTTAAATAGCCCACATTATACTGAGTACTATATTCCATCTTCCAAGGCATATTTACCTTATAACCTTAATAAAAATGCATGTATTTTAAGTTACTCTAAAATTACACTGTATGTTCTTAGGAATAAACTGTTGGCAATAGTCATCTAAGAAGAAAGTAGTCCCCACTTATCCACAGTTTCATTTTCTGTAGTTTCTGTTAATTGTGATCTGAAAATATTAAATGGAAAATTCCTTTCAATAATTCATAAGTTTTAAAGAAGTGATGTTCTGAATAACATGATGAAATCTTTTGCCCTCCCACTCCTTCCCACCTGGGATATGATGATCCCTTTGTCCAGCAAATCCACACTGTATATATTACCTGACCATCAGATAGGTGTTTAGTAGCCATTTCTGTCATCAGATACAGAGCTTGTATCCTATCTGTGGTTTCAGGCATCCACTGGGGGTCTTAGAATGTATGCCCCATGGATAAGTGGGGGACAACCGTATAGCAATAATAAACTATTTCCCCTTTAGTGTTCAGCATTACAAAGTAGTCACTTACCCAGGCAAACTCTCAGAGCTGTCATCTGTGACTCTGTATCCTCCTTCATCATGCTCTTCGCTATCATTGTTTTGATTATCTTTTCTCTTTGTGGTAATATTTGAGGCTTCGAAAGATGTTTTCTGCATCCCACAAGTCGCCCAACTACTCATTCGCTGGAAATAGTGGAATTCTACTGCTCCAAGGCCTAGGGCCCTGAAATATTCTTTGCCCACATAATGTCTCCAATCACACCTGTGGTGACAACAGAGTGCAATAACAATGCCAGCCACAGGGGTCCACTTCTCTGGGACATTTTTTTCATTTCCTTCCTTGGCCAAAGTGTTAATTTCTTTTTCTGTTTTATCATTCTTTATGCGTTTGGCTAAAGGTTCTTCATTCCTTTCCTCAAAACTGGCAGCATAGGTTTCAACCAAACATCGTAATGCAAGATCTGCAAACACAATTATGTCGCCCCCCCCCAAACCATCATCTTTAAAATAAATATTTTTTTATATTTCTTAAACAGTATGGTTTTTAAAAACCCAACAACAAAAATCTACTTAGCTTTATATATGTAATAATCCTATCATAAAGTATCAACTTTGTTCAAATCTGCTTTTTTCTATCTTCTTATTTTTTCTAGTGACTAATTTTGCATAAAATCTATTTCCCAATAAAACTATCCAAATTTAAGGTCTATAATTAAAAAAAAACCTTTTGTCTAACTATTTGAATTGTCTCCCATTTCCCCTACCCTGGCTGAGGAAATGATTTGTATAGAAACATCTATTTACCTATACTTGCATTCCAGATTAAGAAACTTGAGCTTAAGAAACTCAAAGTAAGAAGTAAAGAACAAAGGCAATTTTGCTTAACATAGTGATGCTAATTTTGAGTTAGAAGATAATCACAGCAAATAGCAATGAATTGAAGAGTAGAGAACAGGGGATCAGAACATGGAAAGTAGGCCTCTCTGAGTAGTCTTACTGTGTTTATGCATTCATTCTGCAAATATTTTCTGAATGCCTTTCATGTGTAAAACATTGAGGATGCAATATACCCAAACTTAGAGGATTATGTATGCTATATTAAAATGAAAACATTTTAGTACATTTGAAAACTAAAAAACAAACAAAAAAACCCAAAGATTTTTGATGAGTATGGATATTTTCCACTGAGAACTACTATACTGTTGACAATATTGGAAAGACCATAATTATATACTGTAAAACCCATATTTTCTTATTAGATTGTTATATTGTGTCTACTCAATTAAAAACAAATGTACATTTAAAAATTTTATTGCCCTAAGATGTTACAATATTAAATGATCTGCTATTTGCTAGTAAATTTAGCTCAATATATGAATTTAAGTCAACAAACATTACTGGAAACCTATTATTTGGATAAGGTGATAGTCAATCTATTATTTTATTTATTTATTTATTTATGGTATAAGGGCACAACAGTTTTAATACATTAATACAAACACCAATCTTCACAAAATAATGTTAATACTTTGTAATCTATTATTTCTTAAACAGTTTTATCATAATTCCCTCTGCATATCTTTACCTTATTATATTTTACTTGTCTGTTTATACATCTAATTCTTGCAGATGCTATGAATTTTTTGAGACTAAGGCATACACTATGCTACTAAAATGCTAATACAATTTTCTTTCTTTCTCTCTTTTTATTTTTGAGGCAGGGATTTTGCTGTTGCTTAGCTCAAGTAATGCGCCTGCTTTAGTCTCCTGAATAGTTGTGCCATTGTGCCTGGCTCCATAAACTATTATTTTCTAACAAAATATATTCAGTCACTATTTTATTTATATTTAACTTAAGTAAATGATTTTCAGAAATGAGAATAATCAGAAAAATTATTAAAAGAATTAAATAATTTCAGAATTAAAAGGATCTTTATCAGTCTAGCTCAACCTCTTTTTTTATAGAGATCTAAAGGGATAAAGCTGTATACCCAAAAAAGGACAAAGAAACACAGCAAATTAGTGGCCAAGATTATTCATTCATTCAAATTCACTAAGTTTCTGTTATATATTGAGCATTGTATTAGCATATGCCTTATTTTCAGAAAATTCATAGGATTCTGGCAGAATTAAATAAACAGACATAAGTGAAATATAATCAGGTAAAGATACCACAGAGGCAGGGCTCAGTGGCACATGCCTGTAATCCAAGCAGTTCGGAAGGCTGAGGCAGGAGGATCACGAGTTCAAAGCCAGTCTCAGCAATGGTGAAGTGCTAGGCAACTCACTGAGACTCTATCTCTAAATAATACAAAATAGGGCTAAGGATGTGGCTCAGTGTTTGAGTACCCCTGAGTTCAATCCCTGGTAGCCTCTCCAAAAAACCAAAAACAAACAAACAAAAGAGGGTATTGTGATAATACTAAGGAGGCAGATCTTATTTAAGGAGACCCCCCCCCCCCCCCCCCCCCAAAAAAAAAAAGAGGTGATAACTGAGCTGCAGGATGAATAGATATTGACCAGTCTTTTTGTTTGGGTGACAGTGGAATTCCAGAAATGGTAGGAACAGAATAGTATATGGAAAAATATACAAGCTTGATGTTGGTGAACAGTAAAGCTAGAAACAGAGTAGCAAAGAACTGCTGAAGAGTTTAAAAAGGGGAAGGATACACTAGGAATGTAGCAGATGGACCTAAATATTAATATTTAAAGAACCCTGTGGAAGGAAACCATGAAAGAAACAGAAGAAATGCACTGATGAAAGGAAAGAACTGGGAAAGAAGTGTCAGAAAAGACAATGAAATAGAAATTCAAAAAGGATAATTAACTGCAAGAGATGAAAGGGGAATTCAAACAGAGTGAACCAAAGTGGAGAAAATGCATGGAATATGAGAACTGGCCACTGTAGGTTATACTTTTGAGAAATATGGATTAGATGGGAAGAGTCAAAGGTGTATACCTTCCCCCTTCCCTAGGATGAAATTGGATGCAACTGGTTTACTTCAAAAGGCTTTTATTTAAGGGTTAATTAAGATATATGGAAGTCATCTAAAAACTTTGAAGAACAACACAATATACAGTACTCATATTCAGCCAATTTGAATAATGTCTTATGAAGGCTCCAAGTTCCCCAAATGAATAGATGATGAAACTAGCAGGATCCAGGAAGATATAATGATAGCTAACATAGTGAGCATTAATATATGCCAGAATTTTATGTGGAAACTGGTAAATGGTATTATTACCCCTATTTTACCAATGAGGTAACCAAAGCTCAGGAAGGTTAAATAACTTGCCAAAATTACACAGCAGAACTGACAATGAAACTATCCGAGTCCCAATGTATGCTGTTTCCATTCTACAATGCTAGATCTGATGAACAGAAGTGCTAAGACAGCTTAGATTTTTCTGGTATGAAATTTTTTAAATTTTTCCTCAGAATCCCGACACACAGTGATCTTCTAAGTTCCTCTAAAAAAGTTTCTCTAAGTACCTTCTGGGGTGAAATACTACAGTTTCCACAACAATTTGTTTCCCTGTTTAGTTGTAATATAACCCAAAGAACTTTAAGGTTCCATATGACATATTATTTATACATAACACTCTTGATTCATCCTGCAAAATGGCCAAAATGAGCAGATATCTAGGAAAGCCCTGCATTTGATACAACATAGGGCCAGTGTTGCTTATGAAGACTGTTTTTTTTTGTAACTAGAATAAGTTTAAAATTTTTTTATATATTTTTGTTCTTTGTAGTTAAACATGACAGTAGAGTATAATTTGACTTATTTATACACAGAGTACATCTTATTCTAATTAGGATCCCAGTCTTGTGGTTGTCTATGATGTAGATATTCACTATGGTGGACTCATATATACACATAGGAAAGTTATGTCAGAATTATTCTCCTGTCTTTCCTATTCCTTTCTCCATTCCTTTCCCTTCATTCCCCTTTAAGACTGATAAGCTGCAAGTATAAGAAATCTTAACAACTCAAAAGAAACCACTAGGCAATTTA